GAAATCGGTTGCAAAGATACCTCTTGGAAAGTTACCCCTACGGATCACGTGAACACGAACACACTTTTATGGTTATCGAGACACATAACGAGATACGACATAGAGCACACATGTCATAATGAGATTTCATTTATCGTTCTCGGTGTCTGTTTTCGTAGAGAATAGAGATACGTCTTATGTTATCGTCGTGCTCCGTTCCTGAATCGTTTACGATAATCGAATTCGCCAAGGGAAAATTTCAAACAGGAAGCACCGCTACTTTAGAGATACTTGAAGAAAAATGCTGACCTAAACCCCTGTCTGAGCGCTATCACGAGATAGCGAATCACAACGGTAGAGAACTACGTTATCGACCATCGTTCGAAAGCGCGGGAAATTTGAAAAGGGTTGATGTCGGATTTACGCGTCGACTACGACAAATCAACGAACGATGCCTGTCGCACCGATAAATTAGCACGCTATTAGTATTATAAAAGACAGGCCCTACGAATAAAGCTATTTAGCAGAACCCTCCCCGTGCCGTGGGTACGACCACCATCGTCACCGCCATAATCGTCGCTTCAACCCCTCGCGGGTACCACGATAAAATCGACACGCTACTTTAATCAGGAACCCGCAGGAAGTGCTGTGTAAGTTCTCATCGAAATACACGTGGGTACGGATACGTCGAGCTTCAGTGCACAGACCCACCACTTGTCGCAAACACGCAGGTTGTGCGCCCCTTTTCTCCAAACGCATTTGTAATTCGTGTCGCATTTCCATAAATTAGATCGAACAGTCAAAACTTTGATGTTTGCGATTCGAAAGTCTATCGACGGGCTCTACTGTCGTATTCTAACAGTTACACGAAACTGTAAACTATATTCGAGAACACGTAACTCTATCTACTGATAAAGAGTAAGTGTAAACAGATTACTTGTACAAAACACGTGGGAATTATCAATATCCGTGGAAACAGTATTCCGGTATCGCAATACATAGAGAAACGTGCGATTCGTGAAATGTTCTGCAATTAAATTACAGAACTTCAATTTTCCTTTTTTTTTTTAAAAAAAAAAGGAGAAGAAAAAGAAAATGTTCGTTATCACCGAGAGCCTCGCATACTTTTCAAAATGGAGTTGGTGAACCAGCTAGGGTACCACGTGTTCAAGACACACGTGGTTATTAGGTTATTTCACTTGGCGGGAGGTCGATAGATGAACGAGTTTTTTTTGTCAAACAAGAACACGACTGCTTTACACCTGGGATTACGCGTCATAGAAGATGTTTGTACACGCGAACAAGACTGCAAAGAAAAACAGCCTAGTAATTCTACGACGTACAAGCATGGCTATATCTGTTCAAGTATGTCTATATCTTGAAAAGATAACAACGAATCTCCGTTCGTGATAACTGGAGTTGTCGACTAACGGTACGTCTGCACTTTGAATTTGTGGCCCAGGATATTCAACACTTTTTTCAGGAAAGAAACAGCAAAAAATCGTAAACGCGATAAAGATCACTTTGACAAACAACTGCGAGAACTCAATAGAGGAGTATACACAACGTATACGACATGTCAAACAATAAAAATGTAACGGAAAAATGTCGAAACGGTTAAAAAGTATGAAACGTAAAAATGTATCGGTAGGAATACGAACACACACACACACACACACACACACACGCACACACGTCGCACCTGTAGTACACACAACTTACATAGCTCACTGCCTACATGCTCCACTGTCTATACATATTCCCATGTTCACGATGTGTTGTTTCTTTCGAATTCCAAACATAACGCAAGCACTGTCTCTTCGAAAATATGTTTATCCGGGTACGGTGCACAGATTACATAATTTTCCACTATAATACAGCAACAAAGAGATTAATTAACGCGCGCGCGGTGACACTGGGCGACCGAAAGGCACGTTCTGACACGTGCTCGGGCTCGAGGCTGTGGCACTGATCCGATCTCGCGCGGCTCGCAAAGACGAGTAAGGTATGTATACACAACTCACCTGTTATGGTACGTGGTAAACGATTGCAATGCGACTCGAAGGCTACATTAACCGAATACGAAAATGCGACAGTCGGCCGACGGGGGAAAAATCACAAAGAGGAAGTGAGCACGATCGGCAGCAACAATGACGCTCCCTCGTGAGGGAAGGAACTGCAGAGGCACACTGGGGAACAAGCGGCTCAATGAATACAACAAGGGGGAGGATGGTCGGCGGATGGACGAACGAACGACTCGACTCGAGTCGAGTCAGCCTCGACACCCCGGGGCGTATCGGCGCCTATGGGCAGCGCCATACCCGACCGCGACACACGTTCGAGTGTGAGAGAGAAAGAGAGGGAGCGACAGAGAGGGAGGGACGGAAAGAGACAGAGCGAGGGGTGGGGGAGAGGAGAGACGTAGTACACGAGGGAGACAGAGCGATTCCAAGAGACGAGGGAAAGAGGAGGGAAAGAAGATTTACGCAACCCTCTCTCGCCGAGCGAAAATCCACGTCGAGAGGCACGCTGTCGTCGATGCGCCGATAAGCCACGTAGTATCCTCCTTGCACGCGCCTCACTTTTCTCCATCTTTTTCAAAGAAACTGTGAAACTAACCTCTCACTCCGTTTACCCTGCGAAATCGCCCTCTCTCCCACTCCCGCGAGTTAACCCTTCCTACACAGAGGCACACGGCACGCACACGGACGCACGCACGCACACCGACAGTCACGCACGCACACAGACACCGTAGTCCATCGTGGCATTCATATAAGCGCACACGCAGAGGCACGCACACATGGATANTTTTTTTTTTTAAAAAAAAAAGGAGAAGAAAAAGAAAATGTTCGTTATCACCGAGAGCCTCGCATACTTTTCAAAATGGAGTTGGTGAACCAGCTAGGGTACCACGTGTTCAAGACACACGTGGTTATTAGGTTATTTCACTTGGCGGGAGGTCGATAGATGAACGAGTTTTTTTTGTCAAACAAGAACACGACTGCTTTACACCTGGGATTACGCGTCATAGAAGATGTTTGTACACGCGAACAAGACTGCAAAGAAAAACAGCCTAGTAATTCTACGACGTACAAGCATGGCTATATCTGTTCAAGTATGTCTATATCTTGAAAAGATAACAACGAATCTCCGTTCGTGATAACTGGAGTTGTCGACTAACGGTACGTCTGCACTTTGAATTTGTGGCCCAGGATATTCAACACTTTTTTCAGGAAAGAAACAGCAAAAAATCGTAAACGCGATAAAGATCACTTTGACAAACAACTGCGAGAACTCAATAGAGGAGTATACACAACGTATACGACATGTCAAACAATAAAAATGTAACGGAAAAATGTCGAAACGGTTAAAAAGTATGAAACGTAAAAATGTATCGGTAGGAATACGAACACACACACACACACACACACACACACGCACACACGTCGCACCTGTAGTACACACAACTTACATAGCTCACTGCCTACATGCTCCACTGTCTATACATATTCCCATGTTCACGATGTGTTGTTTCTTTCGAATTCCAAACATAACGCAAGCACTGTCTCTTCGAAAATATGTTTATCCGGGTACGGTGCACAGATTACATAATTTTCCACTATAATACAGCAACAAAGAGATTAATTAACGCGCGCGCGGTGACACTGGGCGACCGAAAGGCACGTTCTGACACGTGCTCGGGCTCGAGGCTGTGGCACTGATCCGATCTCGCGCGGCTCGCAAAGACGAGTAAGGTATGTATACACAACTCACCTGTTATGGTACGTGGTAAACGATTGCAATGCGACTCGAAGGCTACATTAACCGAATACGAAAATGCGACAGTCGGCCGACGGGGGAAAAATCACAAAGAGGAAGTGAGCACGATCGGCAGCAACAATGACGCTCCCTCGTGAGGGAAGGAACTGCAGAGGCACACTGGGGAACAAGCGGCTCAATGAATACAACAAGGGGGAGGATGGTCGGCGGATGGACGAACGAACGACTCGACTCGAGTCGAGTCAGCCTCGACACCCCGGGGCGTATCGGCGCCTATGGGCAGCGCCATACCCGACCGCGACACACGTTCGAGTGTGAGAGAGAAAGAGAGGGAGCGACAGAGAGGGAGGGACGGAAAGAGACAGAGCGAGGGGTGGGGGAGAGGAGAGACGTAGTACACGAGGGAGACAGAGCGATTCCAAGAGACGAGGGAAAGAGGAGGGAAAGAAGATTTACGCAACCCTCTCTCGCCGAGCGAAAATCCACGTCGAGAGGCACGCTGTCGTCGATGCGCCGATAAGCCACGTAGTATCCTCCTTGCACGCGCCTCACTTTTCTCCATCTTTTTCAAAGAAACTGTGAAACTAACCTCTCACTCCGTTTACCCTGCGAAATCGCCCTCTCTCCCACTCCCGCGAGTTAACCCTTCCTACACAGAGGCACACGGCACGCACACGGACGCACGCACGCACACCGACAGTCACGCACGCACACAGACACCGTAGTCCATCGTGGCATTCATATAAGCGCACACGCAGAGGCACGCACACATGGATAATCATTTGCGCATAAATATACAAACACTCACGAATCTATACACCGCACAGCAACCACGACGGACGACGGTGAGCGCATAACAGGAACGACGAATAGTGAAACTAAGATAACAAGGGGCGAATGGTGTGGGAGAGAAAGAGAGAAAGACAGGGGAGCGAGAAAGAGAATGAGCGGGAGGTAAAAGATAGGTATAGAAATAAAGAGGGAGAAAGCGCGGCGAGACAGTGTGTGAGAGAGAAAGAAGCGTCCTCTCCGCCGCACTGGTAATATCGATTCGTAGGGTAGGCTCGATGGCAACGACCCTACCTGGTTTGACGAAACCAGCTCTCGAGGCGCACGGGTACATTTTTCGTCTTGTCGACACCGCCCGGTTTTTCCCGATGACACCCGAAATTCGACGAAACCCGACGGCACCCGACACACGACAAGCTCGCAAATTCACACTATGCACCATGTCGACTTACCTTGGCATCCTGGGATGCGGCTGTTTCGACGACGGGGTGAGAGCCACTCCACCGAGGACGTGCGACTTTGCCCGTGCAGCGCTAGGACGCCATGTCATCAAGTCGAGGCGCGGACTCGGGGCAAATCGCGCATATACACACCGATAGAGAGAGAGGCGCACGAACACCACGTAGCTGACCAACCCGGTGCCTGCCGTGCTGGGAATTCCTGCTGCGCCACCGAACGGCCGTCACGGAACCTCGCCTACGCCCGCCTAGCGCCACGACCGTGCTTTCCGTTCGTGGTACCCTTCACCGCTTTGCAACGCTCGCGACACCCGCCCGTTTGCGCGCCCTCGTTCAACCGAACCACCGAAGCCAAGCGGCGCACAACCTCCCGCAATCCTACCACCGCCACCTACCCGCTAGCCCCCACTACACCCTGCACCCTCTCCTTGTAGCCCCCACCTTCTCACCCTTCTCGTCACGCACACCTCCCCCTCCCTTGCCGTGCTCCCCAACACCCTGTACTCCCTCACGCCATCCTGCGCGTTTCGTCCTTCTCGTTTCCCCTCTCTACCACACTCGCACACTTCACGACTCACCGACCCTCTATCCTTCTTCATCTCTCGCGCCCCGTCCCTTTCTATCGCGCTGGCTCTCCCACTCTTTCCGTAGCCCGCAAGGAACGAATCGCCTGACTTCTTTCTCTCTTCAACCGTACCGACGTCGTCTCTTTTTATCTCCTTCGGAAACCTACCCACACACGCACACAGAATCACGCGAATACAGAGACAGACAGTGAAGCAGACACGTGCATATATATACACAAACGTGCGCGCATGCACACACGGACGCATTCCCTCGATTCGTCTTCCTCTTTCTTGCTCCCTCACCCTCGATCACCCTTCAAAAAGGGCACTTATTTTCGCCCCTTTGTTCTCACGCTTGTGACCAACTTCTCCTTCCCTCTAAAGAGACCTTTCCTTAAACCTGCCACCTCCCCCTGCCCTGTACGCCTTCGTTCTTCGGGCTTCTTTCTCGAACACACCCTCTCCCGCTGCTGCTACCTCCTAGCTACTTCTTACGTCAGCGTTACTGCGCACTCGTTCCGGCAAAGTCGCCACGAGCTCGTGTAAAGTTGTTACCCGCCGACGACGTCATGCGCGGTTCCAGCGGTCGCGACGGTTCCTTATCACTTCTCGTATTATTTTGATAAAGGAAAATGCGGGTTAAAGGGGCAACCGAGCGTCTCCGTTACAACTTTTTTTCAAATGGATCCGCACGGATCACCGTTACCCGCGCGTCCCGAGATACACAGCGCTCACGCGGCTCGTTTATACATTGGGTTTCTTTTTACGCCCGTGTTTATTCGATTTCTCGGTTTCGCCAATCGCGCTTATACAAAATCCTTTCGGCCAGTTTCACGAGACCGTCGCCGGTCTCTCAGCGGAGAGATTGGAGCGAGAAAAAGGGGTTGAAACACGATACACCCATTTCGGTCGGAGGCGGGGGATAAGAAACGATACGAAACGATTTTTCGGGGGATGGCCGGGCCGAAATACGTCTGGGGGGTGAGAAAGGAAGGAGAAGAAATTCACGGACGTGTTTAGACGGCTGTGGAGGAGGCGCGTTGCGTGTTATACACGCAACCGCGATTCGCGTCTGCGCACTTTTTCCCCGCACGGCTCGCCAAGCAGCGGCGCAGGTTAGAGCGAGAGAGAGCGAGCTCTCCGCCACGAGGCCGTTTCTCAACTTCTGAGCTGCAAATGTACAAGTACCAACCACATTTGCGTATCCTGGTAGTAGTTTGTCGCTGGTTCAGCTTCCGCTTCGTTCCTCGGGCCTTGTTGCGTATCCGTGGCGAGGTGGTATCCGTGCGTCGTCACGTTGCCATGGAAATAAACGCACCTTCGTCTGATTTCCTTGTTGGAGAGAATCAAAGTGTGTTGGTTGCGTGTCGTCACCGGAATCGTTGCGCTACGCTGACGGCACCTTGACACGTTTACCCCGACACGCGTGTTCTACACCATTGCAGTAATGTCGAAACGACTTCATTATCGACGCTCTTATTACACGTCGATCATTATCTATCGATACGATCGATTTGGTAACAAGATAGAGAGAGACGGAAGCGTGTGTATGTACGAATCGCGTACAACCGATTTGTGTATTCCCGCGCTTTTTACTGTTTGAATTCTCTTACGACAACAATGTCATATACGGTATCGGTATTATAGCCGCCGGACAGATTGTATGCGTACGATCGTACGCGCAATAATGTAGGTGCACCTTGTACAGTGATTATGTGCGAACGTTAGAACGGAAAACATGAATGAAGAAAATTCGGTTGGTACTTGAAACGTGAATTGTATACACGAGGCAACGCGAGAGAGTTTTCAACACGAGGGTAGGTTTGAAGCGTTGCGCGGGGCGCTGTCGCGGAAGGATCCCCACGGATCTTTTCGGTCGACTGATAAAAAGGCTTGGAAGCTGCCTTGTCGCGATGGACGAGGCGTATACGGACAAAAAAAGTCGCTGGAAGGGGAAGCTCGGGAGAGTCTCTCTGAGTCGGGCAGGGGAGAACGGAGGGATCGTCTGTCGGTGGCGGAGCTGGGGTGGGGGCGGTAGGCACGGCGGGGACGATACCGAGGACGGGGTAAAGAGGTAGAGACATACACGTAGACAAACGTGGGTCGGGGTGAAGGGGAGCTATCGCCGCCGTCACCGCCACCGCCACCGCCGCCGTCGCCGACGCTCTGCCACGATGATTTGACTCTGCTCGATACCGCCGCCGACGCCACGATGATTCGATTCCTCTGGTCGCACCGCCGCTGCCCGCCGCCGCCGCCGCCGCTACCGTCGTCGTCACCACCACCGTCACCGTCACCGTCGCCACCGCCGCCGCTGCCGCTGCTGCTGCTGCTGATGCTGCTGCTGGCTTCTGCTGTTCCAGTGTCCTTGGTTTCGCTCTAGCAAAGACCAGCATACTAGTTCCACGTCGACTTGCGCGTTTGGAGAAACTCGGCTGGCTTTCCTGCTTGCCCGCTTGCACGCCCACGGCCAGGGCTGTATCGCTTGGGGCTGCGCCGTTCATTCTAATCTCATGACCTGCCTGCTATTCATGCCGCATGTTTCTTCCCAGAGATCTCTTACAGACGCACGGTCGCCTTCGGTTATTTCTTGCACAACGGGGACGGCTCGCAACGTAACATACGAATGACACCTATCGCGATTGTTTTTCTCCGGTTTCGTGATTTACTTTGAATCCGATACGGCTTATCTTATCGGAGGACTTCGTGGATTTTCCTAATTTCTAGCGCGCGACGTATCTATGCAAATCCCGCCGCGGCGGCGCGGCGTATCTATGCAAATCCATAGAAGTATCGAATTGATATTGGGGAACCGTGGTTTCGTCGGTTCGCTCGCGTGATTATATAACGTTAGGATGATCGGTACATGAATGAGCAGGGTGACGGTTGTAGCCGTCTTAATAGACGGTAGCCCGGTTTTGCCCGTTGATAGCCGCAGACGTTCGATCCGTGAAACGGCTCTGGAACGTCGTTCCCTCAATCGCGGCTAGAACAGGCCCTGGCTAGTATCTAGAGAACTTAGAAATCCAGTGGAAACTAAGGCGAGTAGAAGGGATACTATCGGAGGAGGTGGCAGCAATGGCGTTCCAAGTCGCGAGGAGTAGGCAGAGAGGAGAGGGCTGCCTCATATACCAGGGAAAAGAGGACGGCGGAGAGGGTCGAGGGAGGACGGAGAGACAGAGTCGAGGAGTACTACACGTGTCGCTGCAGCGGGGTGTTGACCCCAAATAGCTTTTTTAACGTGACGTAACCACGAAAGGGTTGAGAAACGGCTAGCAACGTCGTTCGACGGCCAACCGACTTCTTAGCTAAAGCCAAGCCCTTGCCTTGCCTTGGTTTGCCTTGCCTTGCCTCGGCTTGCCTTTAAGCCTCGTGGCTCCCTGTTATATGTGTGGCACAACGATCCTTTCATACTCGAAAAGCCACTTGTGCGGTTCTTCGCCCGCCACCACTATGACCACAATGTTATAATTAAGATCGGAGATATGCCCTCAATTTTTATACGCAGCGTATATACACACACCACTCGGCAAAATCCGCTGTCTGAGACGCACGTCGAATCGGCACGAATTTGTAACGTCGCCGCGACGTGTCGCGGCGAGAGAAAACGAAATTTTGTTCGCTGCACGCCGGGTGTCGCAATCGCGTTGCCATGGCTACCGATCGCACGAATATCATACCGTTAATTGATTATAGGTGAATTAAATGAGAGAAATTTATGATAATACAGCTCCCGTTTAAAATGTAAATAAAAGACAATGCGACGGGTTATCGTTTGTACGGGTTAATTATACTAACAAGTGAGAACCAACTTTATTAGCAACACTATTCACGGTGCGGCGCATAATGCGCGAGGCCTCAAGATCGACCCACATATTATGCAGTAATCTCGGAACAGTATTGTTTATTATTTTGTATCTTTGTGCGACAACACAAATTTTCACCCGATACATACGCCGCGGACACGAGAAACGCGGACCGGACGGTAACCGCGGTCATGACGAACGGTCGTCACACGCAACGTCCGTACATTTTTCCGAGCCAAGAATTGTCAATCACAGCATTTTCATATGCGGGTCGCGCGACACGTGAACACGGAAATTTGTCGATCGGCCGTTCGGTTTATTTACGCGGGGACAACTACGCGTGAATTTGCATGACAATTTACGCAGGCATGCCACGCACGATTTTTATGGTGCTAAAGGTGGAGCGGCCGGCTAGTCGCACGGTCAAGGGTGACAGGTTACGGCATAATTATAGCGTGGTTGCGACACTATCGAACAGTTTTACCAGGAAAAATCGTGATTTATGGGAATCCGGGCTGCGGGAACGGCTCCGCGAAACAGCTATCGATCTTTGTTCGCGCGATCGGGCAGCGCCGTCAACGTTTCCGCGGAGCGGAGTTTTCTATCGGGAAAGTTTTCGAAGCGGGGGAAATTAATATTCAGCTCGTTACGGTCGACCGTGGGGAATCCTTTGACAGAATATTAGTGTCGATTTAGGAATCCAAATACCGATAGGAGGTTAAAACGACACTTAACCCCCCGTCGCGTATGGTTTCCAGTTGGAACGGTACTGGTGTGTCGCAATACGGCCTTATGTGTACACTGTATGTACCTACTTAGGACCATTGAGGAGGAGGGAACACAGACAGAGATGTATATAGGGCGTCCCCCGTTCCCTTTTTTTTTTTTTATTTCGTCATTCGATAACGACACACAGCCTTCGTGGATCTTATATGTATATATACATATAGATTTCTTCCTTTCTTTCTCGATCGAGTTTGTACAGTCTGGCGGACGGGACTCCGCTGGTGGAACACGATGCACCGAAAGTGGCGTGTAAAAACTACGCGATAGGTACAGTAGTGAACAAAACCATGCCTTTCTCTATCTCCTTCCTTAATATCGCGTACAGTATACATACGCTCGCTGCGACAGCAGTGGCTATCTTATCAAGCCAGCTACACCCTGAGAGAGGCGTACACGATATTTCTCCTATTTGCTCCGGAAAGTACAGTGGTTCCCTATATTGATCGACCACCGACCCTTCTAAGGTCAACCAGAAGTTTTTGAGGTCAACGCAAATAGAAAGGGGTCCACGAGATACGGGGTCCGGTCCTCCTCCGTCGACCACAGAGAGATTCACCGAACCGGCCGCGGTAGTCTGACTCAAACGGACGACTGTTTAGAGTTCGAAGCAGATATCCTTATCCATCGGCGGCCGCAAGAAACCACGGGCTCGAAGGAAACGGTTCGCCGTTGTTCCTTCCCGTCCGTTTTAGCCATTATTTCGCTCGGTCTTCGCTCGGTCTTCGCTCGGACTTCTCGCGGGCACCGTCCGATTAGCAGCCCGGAGTACCTAAACTGTAACTAATGAATAACGGTACAATTGTTTCTCGAGACTATTGCGCCGTGGCTGAATCCCCGGTCAGTATCGGCCGGTCCTGCGAATTCGTCGAAAACCGGCGCGGCGCGTTGCTTTTTCGGCAAGAAAACCGAGAAAGAGAAAGACAGAGAGAGAAAGAGAGAGAGAGAGAGAGAGAGAGGGAGAGATAATCATAGAAAAGAGGGTTAACATTCCGTGGGGGAAGTTGGAAAGGAATCGTAGAAGATTCCGTCGTTCGATAAAAAGAGTCGACAACCGTGGAGGCGAGTAACGGCGTGCATACCTTACATATACGTTAGGAAGGGGATGACTCGAAGGGACATTGCTCCCTGGCCTTGCCTGCCCTGCTCTGCTCCGCTGTGTCCAGAAAGGATCCACCTATCGTCCTGCACTCTCACGGCCCTTACGGACCGTGACACCTTCAGTTTGGGTCCTTCCGGCGACAGGTACCTAGCAAGAAAGACTTCCTGCTTAGTTGCCGTCCGAGGAAAGCGTAAAAAACCAAAGGACAGGCTAAACCATAGAAGACAGGTGGAATTACCGGCAATACCATCATTTACTCCGATCACTGAAATCGAAATTTTTTAACAATGTACACATATGTATGTATATATATTGGAAATTATTTAACAATATACACACATATATATATATATATATATATATTAGAAATTATTTAACGATTTTACATATGTATACGTATATTCTTTCGTTTTCTATCTGCAACTTCCCTGCTCTTATTCACCCGCTTTTTCCGTTTCCCCGTCATTCGATACCCTCGGAAACGCGTTATCAATACCCGACACGAACCCGACACCGAAAATAGAGGGCCAGCGAAAGATCCCGACTGTGTTTCGGAAGGGACGTCGCCACCCCAACAGGTGGTTACGGGGACTTCGACTCGAAGATCGAACTTTCTACCCCTACGATCGCACCTGCCCGGTCCTCGGCGTGTCGTTTTCGGNGAGGTTAAAACGACACTTAACCCCCCGTCGCGTATGGTTTCCAGTTGGAACGGTACTGGTGTGTCGCAATACGGCCTTATGTGTACACTGTATGTACCTACTTAGGACCATTGAGGAGGAGGGAACACAGACAGAGATGTATATAGGGCGTCCCCCGTTCCCTTTTTTTTTTTTTATTTCGTCATTCGATAACGACACACAGCCTTCGTGGATCTTATATGTATATATACATATAGATTTCTTCCTTTCTTTCTCGATCGAGTTTGTACAGTCTGGCGGACGGGACTCCGCTGGTGGAACACGATGCACCGAAAGTGGCGTGTAAAAACTACGCGATAGGTACAGTAGTGAACAAAACCATGCCTTTCTCTATCTCCTTCCTTAATATCGCGTACAGTATACATACGCTCGCTGCGACAGCAGTGGCTATCTTATCAAGCCAGCTACACCCTGAGAGAGGCGTACACGATATTTCTCCTATTTGCTCCGGAAAGTACAGTGGTTCCCTATATTGATCGACCACCGACCCTTCTAAGGTCAACCAGAAGTTTTTGAGGTCAACGCAAATAGAAAGGGGTCCACGAGATACGGGGTCCGGTCCTCCTCCGTCGACCACAGAGAGATTCACCGAACCGGCCGCGGTAGTCTGACTCAAACGGACGACTGTTTAGAGTTCGAAGCAGATATCCTTATCCATCGGCGGCCGCAAGAAACCACGGGCTCGAAGGAAACGGTTCGCCGTTGTTCCTTCCCGTCCGTTTTAGCCATTATTTCGCTCGGTCTTCGCTCGGTCTTCGCTCGGACTTCTCGCGGGCACCGTCCGATTAGCAGCCCGGAGTACCTAAACTGTAACTAATGAATAACGGTACAATTGTTTCTCGAGACTATTGCGCCGTGGCTGAATCCCCGGTCAGTATCGGCCGGTCCTGCGAATTCGTCGAAAACCGGCGCGGCGCGTTGCTTTTTCGGCAAGAAAACCGAGAAAGAGAAAGACAGAGAGAGAAAGAGAGAGAGAGAGAGAGAGAGAGGGAGAGATAATCATAGAAAAGAGGGTTAACATTCCGTGGGGGAAGTTGGAAAGGAATCGTAGAAGATTCCGTCGTTCGATAAAAAGAGTCGACAACCGTGGAGGCGAGTAACGGCGTGCATACCTTACATATACGTTAGGAAGGGGATGACTCGAAGGGACATTGCTCCCTGGCCTTGCCTGCCCTGCTCTGCTCCGCTGTGTCCAGAAAGGATCCACCTATCGTCCTGCACTCTCACGGCCCTTACGGACCGTGACACCTTCAGTTTGGGTCCTTCCGGCGACAGGTACCTAGCAAGAAAGACTTCCTGCTTAGTTGCCGTCCGAGGAAAGCGTAAAAAACCAAAGGACAGGCTAAACCATAGAAGACAGGTGGAATTACCGGCAATACCATCATTTACTCCGATCACTGAAATCGAAATTTTTTAACAATGTACACATATGTATGTATATATATTGGAAATTATTTAACAATATACACACATATATATATATATATATATATATTAGAAATTATTTAACGATTTTACATATGTATACGTATATTCTTTCGTTTTCTATCTGCAACTTCCCTGCTCTTATTCACCCGCTTTTTCCGTTTCCCCGTCATTCGATACCCTCGGAAACGCGTTATCAATACCCGACACGAACCCGACACCGAAAATAGAGGGCCAGCGAAAGATCCCGACTGTGTTTCGGAAGGGACGTCGCCACCCCAACAGGTGGTTACGGGGACTTCGACTCGAAGATCGAACTTTCTACCCCTACGATCGCACCTGCCCGGTCCTCGGCGTGTCGTTTTCGGTTAAAAACCTGCCTCCGCGTTTTCTATCCCTGCGCACCTCTCTCGCGTCGCCCTCCTCCCGCCTTTACCACCCAGCACGGATTCTTACTATCCCCGGGCTGCCTTTCAGCTTTTTTCCCTCTGCCGGGCTCCCTTCTCCCCGCGATCTCCCCGTCGTCCTCTTACTCACCTACCGGGCTCTATCTATCCGTGTACCTACGTGACTATCCGCATCCCTATTCCTGACTTCTAAATCTAACCCTAGGTCTAACCCAACCTGGAGGCGCCCTTATACCCAGACGGCGGGCGTCATGGATGGGGAGGTGTATATATATCCCCACCACGGCATCCCTCATCGAGGGGTCGTTGATCCCCCAAGGACAACGACCTTGCGTCTGCGGCAGCCAACCGTTCGAACGGTTCTGGGTTCCCGGATTCCTCGATTACCAATATCTTTCACTCCTCGCTTCTCTTTTTCCCCCGACTCTTCTTGCACCCCAACCTTCTTCCCTTGCCCCTACCACTTTTCGCTCTGTCCCCCTCTCCTCTCCCTCTCTCTCTCACGCTGTTTCTCTCTCTCTCTCGCTCTCGCTCTCTCTCTCTCTCTCTCTTCCCCCGCGTCGTGTTCGGCTCCTTCACCTCCATCTCCTCCTCCGGCGTAACCGTCGTAACCGTCGCCTTTCATTTTCCTTTCCGTTTTCTTTCACTCCGCGCGGCGGCGAACGATCGGTCGTCTTTTTGTAATCTTCTATCCGACAGACCATCAATGGCGATTTGTTACATCCGTGCCGAGGACGGAGGAAGCGGCGTTCGACCGGCGTCCGTGAAATCCTATTTCGTCCGCGCTAACCGCGACAAAGTGGTCGGGTCGGGAACAGTTAGCGCGCGCGGCTGGCGGCTCTCTCGGCCGTCCGGATGCCCCGGCGCGGCGGCACGGGCGGCGGATACGGAGGCGAATCCTTCGCAGGGGTCACTGGGTTTATAGAATCATAAACGATCGCCGAGAGCCGCTTTTCAAATTGTAGGAGAGTATGAAAAATTCATACGGAGCCGTCATCGATATGCATGACTCGACCCCGACCCGCATACCTCTCCCTCCGTTCTTCCCCTGTTGTGTGCGCCTTTTCAGTAGTCACGCGCGTAGAAATGTTCTTCGTGGGCCCACGCGGCTCATCGATCTCGAAGCACGCGAGCACCGAGGGAAAGCCCCGCGTGTGTACAGCTTCGTCGGGAGGGGGGGGGGGGGAGACAACGCGAAAGAGCGAGTGGAGAGAAAAGAGAGCGGAAACGGGAGAGAAAAAGAACGGGGAAAGAGGGTAGGGAGAAACGGAAGAGAGAAAAGAGAGAAAAAGCGCGGAGGAAAAGAAGGAAACGGTGAGCGCGAAGTAACCGTAAAGTCGCCACCGAGAAAAATGCTCCGGCGACGCGCGTGCATGTACGCGCCCGCGACACGCTTCTGAATGGACGGGATGGATGTATAAGTGGCGAAACCGTGGTCTCGCGATCGGAAAAATCGTAACGAGACGGGAACGCGTTCGTGTTGTTTACTTTACCGTAGAGCTTGAACTCTTATCCAAACATGACTGATACCTGGTATGTTAAAACACAGCTATAGTTCCTCTAAGTGGGTGGATGGGTGGGTGGCCAAGTACACACGTTCGAACGGAGCCGGTACACATGTATGACATATCGTCGCATACACCGGCGAGACCGCGATACGTGCAGCGTTGGCCGTGCGGACGCGAGTTGGGAGCCGCGGTGACGTAATCTTCGAAGGGAAGGAACAACATCGCCGTTGACCTACTAAAGACTCGACTTTTCTTTCGGTTCTTTTTTAGCCCTATCTTTTCGGCTTCCTGGTACGTTGCTCCTACGGGAACCAACGTGTTCGTAGTTCTTCTAATTTTTTCGATGGATCGAAAAACACGTTTTGTCAATCGTCGTTGTTATTAATAAATCGCGATGTCGGATCCCGCGGTTCGAGACAAAATCAGATCTCCGTCGACACACGACCGACGAGACACCGTTGCCATCGAAGTGTTCGCGTGAAAATGAAATTCTAAATTATTCGTTCACGTAGAAAACGAACCGCGAAGCAATAAATGTAGATATATCAATATTTAAAGTAACGGTCGTCTTTGTTTCAAATAGCTTTTAACGAACGATAAAAAAAAACGAAACGGGCGAAAAAAACACGTTGGCAACGAAACAATTATTCTCTTGCAATAATCGACCAGGGTCAAGTGTGTACACTTCGTGCAATACGTAATTTGCATGGACGTATAAACAAAACAAAACAAAAAAGCCGGCTTTCCATTATTATCCTTATCAAAGCCTCGAGGAACGGCCGGTTTACTTGGTAGTTGGACAACCTGCGCGGAAACCGTCACGTTATATGAATAACCGCGCGACAAGTGTTACGCCGCAGAAATGCCGAGGTAGGTCCTACAGGTCCCTCCATGGACCACCCTATCGTTACGCTGTGGTGACTTCTGACGCGTGAATACGCCCTTTGTCCGCCGCTGGCTCTCGGTCTCCCTTTATTTCCCGTTCCCCTCTGCGCCCTAAGAGCCGACAGGTAAGCAGGTAGACAGGTAGCAGCAAAAGTCAATTTCAATTCGATTCAAAAAGACCTAAACCCGCATTGTTACCGCCTAAGGGTACTCCGAATGAGTCGGGGTTTATTCGTATAGCGGGATCCCCGAAGGCACTTAAATGTGGCCACGACACCTTTCCACCTGTTTCCCTTAACGGTGACATCCTTTCTATTCAATAGTGGCGCGGACAAAAAAAAGAGAAAAGGAAAACGGTGAATGAAATTTCGTTCGATTCGAGTTCCGCCGCGCGGGGAACCCGTCTATCGCGGATCGTCCGCGGAAGGGTTAGCGAGACACGGGTGTACCGGATATTATTCGATGATAACATATCCCCTTGGAAAAATGTGGGTTCGTTACGCTTCGCCATAGCAGGTTCACCGAAGTAAACGAGAAACTCGACTGCCAGTGGGTATGCAGCTTCTGGGATTGCTTCGGACCAGTTGGACGTCTCCCGCTGGCTATGGCGTGTCGGGGTGGTTGCAACAGGTTGTTGCTGTAGCAGCCACCATCACCCGTAACCGCGGCTCCCTTTGGTTCACCAAATAACCTGACTAGCGGGGAATCCTTTAGGAACGGTGTATACAGGAGGATCCGCGCGATTATTCGGATACTTTCTCTAGAGGGCCGAAGTCGAAGGTGATCAAGGTACGCATACCATTCGAAATTAATATATTCCTGTACCCCTCTCGCCGAATCGGAGTGTGAACATCAGAAATACCGACGTGGCTCCTCGTAATCGTCACGTTGTTGGCATGCTCGCTCGGTTGCGCGCGCGCGCGCGCGGACGGGCGGGCGGGCGCTCGTGCGATCCAACGATAACACAATATCCGTCTATCTCCTATTATCAGCGTTTCGGAAGGGCATTGCCTTAGTCTTGACCAAACACGTGTGCGCCTTCGCCGCGTCTTGCACTGTTTGATCTGCTCGATCCCGTAAACTGGTAACGAGGCGGCGATGGCCATTTCGAGGAAGTCTCTCTCGGCGACCCAGATTTTTTATTTGCTCGGGTATTAGACCGACCGGGATGATAACTCCGGTGAACACGGAAAGGATCACACGGAGCGCAACCCCATGCCGTGAATACTCGCGGGTAGCAAGCCAACCTCCCATAAAACCTCGAGAAGATGAGCAGGATGCAGTGGACGTAGCCTGACGTAATGCAGTGTGGGAGCGGCATGGCACTGGAGGGGGGGTCAATGCCCTCGTACCCGACGACCACCGTTCCCCAGCAACCCCGTGGTAGGAACCCAGGGACCGTTCCTGGGAATGCTCTTCACCCCGTAAACAGTGTTCAGCTCCCGATGCTCCGAAGAGCTCGCGTGTAGAGGTTTAATTACATCCGCGAATTTTAAACAACTCCGCCGGTGCCGTGAAGTTGAAGAGCCGAAGAGAAGATAGCAACCGTGCGGATACATAGTGGGCGCCGCGCCGCGCCGCGCCACGGCGATCCAATTTTTCGTCGTGTCAGCTCACCGACTGACAAGCCTTTTTTATTTTGCAAAACGGCAACCGGCAAACGTTTGCTTTAACCGAGCAATTTAGTTTGAACTTCGGCTCTTCTCTTTTTGGGGGAACGAAGCCGTAGGGGGAAATGCAATTACGCGCCCGTATCCCGAAGAAAACATTTCGAAATCGCGCGCAGCTCTCTCGATCCTTTTTCTAACTTCGTTCGGATAGTGGGCGTCGGACGTGTCGCGGAGAGGAGAGAACCACGTCGAGATAGTCCCCGAAGCGACTCGAAAATTCCGACTGCGTCCCGCCGAAGTTTTCGCCAGTGGGCGTCGATCGTAAAGAAAAAAATCCGTGTGCCGCGAAGAAGAGCGCGGCTTAAGAAAGCTACGAATTTCGTTGAACCCCATTCCACGCGTAAGGATCGAAGCCTGACTGAGCTCTCGGGTGATACCGTTAAACTGACTTCCGTCTGCCCACCTACCTACCTACCTACCTACTTTCGTCCTCGTACATCGTCCGGCTCCGTCCAAGCCGCGTATTTCGCAATCCCGAAGAGAGAGAATATCTCGGTGTCAGGGGCTCAAAATATTTGGACGAGTGGGACCGCACGCCACGCCAAATTCGTCTAGAAAACATTCGGTCTATACATAAG